AGAATGATAGTCATTAGTATTGCAATAACGTTTTTATACAGAAATGTTAGTGCATTGAATCTAAGATGAGTTTATAATTCTTTTTTAATTTTTTTTACCATTCTACTCAAAACTTCTTTAGTAATGATATGTGTAACGACAAAAACTATGAACTAAAACTATACTAAGAGCTTATGCCAGTCCCGAAGGAGGGGTACTTCCTAGTAATAGGCTAATGGGGATGCGCCGCTGGATGGGGTCACATGTTTTCATGACTCAGGATTGACTATAATGGGGTTGCATTATTATTAGAGTTACTAGGATGGGATAGCATATTTTTGGGATTTGGGGAATCTGAAAATTCAGGTAGGTAGGGATTTAAAAATGGGAAGATTTTTTACTTCTTTAAGTTTGACCAAAGTGTCAATTCCTTTAAGGGTGACCTACATTGAAACCTCTATTAAGTGGACACCTTCGGGACCTTCCCAAGTGTCCGCTTAATAGAAGGTGTCCACTTAATAGAGGTTGTAAAAAATTGCGCAATGTTTGTTAACAATCAACATTCAACGGTTACTCTGCACCGTGATAAAGTTGCATGTTGTTAAAGAAGTTATCCAGAGTTCAAATTCACTACCTTTCATTACTAACTTTAATTTGTTTGTAAATGCAAAAACATTAACTGACTTCAGTACGTATTTCAAGGACGTAATCCAATACTACTATTGTCAATTCAGCCCGATGTCCGCTTAATAGAGGTTTTTAACAATAGAAATTGGCCAAATACAACTTATTTTAGTGTCCTCGTCCGCTTAATAGAGGTGTCCGCTGAATAGGGGCTCGTTATAAAGGGAAATATCAGACGCTCGTTTAGGGACCAGGCTTAGTGTCCGCTTAATAGAGGGTGTCCGCTTAATTGAGGGTCCGCTTAATAGAGGTTTCACTGTAGTTAAAAGGCTTTACAAGTAGGATGCATAAACAGAAAGCGACTAAGTTGATATCGCGAAAATTACATTTTCCCAAAAGTGACTAAGATGGAGTCCATATTTGGCTACAGAATGGTCTATAATGAGGTACGGGTTCTGAGAGGCCAGCTGCACATAACCAGCAGAAATTAATCAAGTAACCCCCTCCTGGGGGGAGCCAGTAATCGACTCCTGTTAAGAGTAATCAGCATCAAATTTTTTATATATGAGGGTTTTTAAAGATAAAGCGGTTACCGACCCTAGCTTGTGTTGATGTCCAGTCGAAAGAGATGTCTTAAATGCTACACATGCAATAGCCTGCGAACGGCAAACGTTTCTCCTCGCTCATCGCCGCTGATGGACCTTTCGTTCCTCCTCGCGAAACGTCACTCAGTGGCGATGAGCGAGGAGAAACGTCAGCCGTTCGCAGGCTACACATGGAAATTCCCAATAATAATCGTCTTAGTCTTAGCCGAAATGGTTAACTGCATAGTCTATTTTTTTTTACTAGAAAATCACCTTTATCGTTATTTTTGCGAGGCAGCAATGACCGTGATGTTCATATATGAATGGAAATGTGTAACACTGGTTTGCATTCATACTAATATCGCATCGATTTGAATATGATGCTGTGTAGTTACAGAAGGTGATAATTGTTTGTTGATGTAGAAGCTAGGCTGGACGTTTGTGTAGGGATTGTAGGGTATCAGAGACAGAGGTGAAAGTTTCCAGTTATTTTCTCACTGAAGACTTATATTCCACAATGTAGTCATAGTATATAGCTGTAAATTATGAAGGGGGTGGCAAAAGGTTTTCTCAGATATAAAATGCCACGTCATTTTAAAAACATCGGCACTTGTCATTTTATGTTCCAATGAAGGAGGTGAAAGCGCGCGTCCGTCTCTAGGGAGTGGTGCTTGCCGTGGAGATATTTTCTATTGCGAAAAGGTTTGATGGAGATGATTTAATACCATGATTCTCCTTTAAAGACTAAACTTTGCTTCTTTCGCCATCCCTATTTTATACAAGAAAAAGGCTTTCGTAAAGTTAAAAAGTGAGTAAAAAACGCTCAGCTATTGTGTAGTATCGCTTGTAGTGTCTTAAATCAATAAAGCAAACGTGAAACGTTACGCATTATTTCTTTTATTATTCGAACTGCACGTACATTTGATTTGATAATATAAGAAGCTTGTTTGATTTCAGTCTGTTAGTTGGCCATCAATGACCAAAGATCAACATGTAAATAGTCCCTGACTTCCCTTCTTCTTTCATCCTTTTTTTTACAGAAAAGATTCGTCCCAATGATCCCAGCTCACCCCATCCCGTCCGGGCCCCACCTCACTCCACGCTCCGTTTCTCACAGTTTTTCCAAACAAGTTCTAAGGAAAAAAGAAACAGTTGATGGTAACTGAGTAAATACTACTTCATCTGTAATATAGAGGGCAGCAGTCCTTTTCACCGCCAGGGTTCAAGACATGAGTTCCGCTAGAGCCCACTGTACCTCGAAATTAAAAAAAAACTTTGACATTTCTGTAGACAAAAGAAAATATATATTAATATAATCATGAGACTAGGGTAATGGTCACAGAACCAAAGCACGTATTCTAAAAAGCTTCCAGACGAGGAAACTGACAGGAAACAAGCGGAAACGTGAGGCATAATGGGATGGAGATGAATGGTCTGGTGGCTCTCGGGGACGAGAATGTGGTTTCCTTCAGCTCAAATATATTAATAAGGAGGGGTGGGGGGTTCACGTTGGATGGTGTGGTCTTCCCTCTTTCTTGCACCAAGGCTGAGGTGTTTCTATTGTTGTTCAACCGTCGGCTAGGACCATTTTGGGATGAAAAAATAGTAAAAAACAAAATCCTATAAGATCTTTTATAACAGGCCAAGAGCCCATGAACAGGCCTGTTTGTCCAGATGTTTCCTTTTTTAATTAAAATCTTGCTGCATAAAGAAGAATAGTGCATTTAATGTAAGCTCTAGGCCTTTCCCTGTACGAGATTACATTGAAGTATCATTTGCGGATACATTTCTCCTTGACTATTGATTTTGTGAAATTTTTGCTCAAATTGTGGAATTTTCTGACGCAGCGAATCTTTACATACCCGACTATCCTACGAGTAGCTGTGCCCCTCCTCCACTCCTGCAGAGAACATAGGGTCCTGCACTTCCACTGTCTCTTCGGGGGAGGGTACGGCTACAGGTAGGCTAGTCTGAGTGACAGGTAAGAAAGGATCCGTTGTGTTCATTGTGTTGTGTCTGAGAGAACCCCCTCCCCATCCTTCAGACTTGATCTGATATCATTCATTGTTTTCAATACCCAAGGTGTCAGAAGGTTTTCTTTCTTTCTTCTTTCTCCTCAAACATATGTCCAAGAGTCATTCAGAGCCCAAGGGGGTCCCCGAAGGTCAGATTTTAACCCTAACGTGAAGTTACCGTTCAGTGTGATGGTCTTGAGGCGTTTTCTCGTTGCTTCGTAGTTTGTTGTCGCCGCTTCATGGCTCAAGAATGTTTCAAGAGAAATATGGTAGCAATGCCCTGGAGCTAAGGAGTGTTTCTAGTGATGTTAAGATCCTCGATGTCCCATAATAAAGTGGTAAAATGTTTTTTTCTTTTGGCTGACAAGTAAAAATTAGCAATCGAGGCTACTGAACCAGGCAATAAATAAGTCTTAATGGTAATAGGACTGAGTGAAGCACATCAACCTGTGAGTGAATAAACTAAAAAGAACCAAAATATTGTATTGCTTCATAATAAATCCTATTTTCACAAGACCTTTGCACTGTACAAATATTTGCTGAATTTGCTCCCAATTTCATTGGATATGTAAGCTTATAATACATTAAATTATTAGCTCCAATAGTCGTTTATAAAAGCAAACATTAAAGCACTTGCTTACATTAATAAACGATGAAACAAGAGTAAAGACAAAAGATGCAAGAGTAGACATATTTAGGTAAATGCAGATAAATTGATTGCATTTTTATGAGAAATGTGCAAAAGAGGTGAAAAGTTATATTTAAGTTGCACTAATACACCTATTGGAGGTGAGAGTCTACTAAATTGTACATACTTTGTACACTTTTTGATACTTAATTAACAACATTTACAAGAAATACTCGAATACAACATCATGTAAGAATTTTTGTATTAAATAACAAGTGCAAAAAAAAATCAGGATAAAAAAGATTTAAAATTTACAGATATAAAAAATAATTTTCTCTAAAAAAATTAAAATAAATTTCTATAGTCTAACAAATCTTACTATCATGATGGGAGCCAAGGCTCTGTGGAAAAATTGTAGGGAGCCTGTGAAATACAGGGCACCCAGCATTTAATGATTTTTATGCAAAAACAAAAGAGATTTCGCAGTAGCTTTTTTTAAAGCAACACTATAGGGGCTTTGGGGGGCTAAGGTAGCAGAGCCTTGGCACCAATATGGGAGATATTGACAATATTATCATTACTTTCAAACTAATCAATAAATTATAATACTACTTATGTTTACTTGACATCACTGGTCAATAACTTTTTATTATTTTCATGTAAAGGAGATGGGTCATGAAATCTATTAAAATTCAAACAGTGGGGAGCTGCCAACAAATAATTAATTGAGTGAGATATTAAAATAACAGGTCAAAACTTTAAGAGAACAGTTTTTCAAATGTTTTGTTGTCGGTAACAAAATAATTATTTTTGACCAGGAGACATATCCAGTTAAACTTAAAGCTGTAATTTTGTAATTTACCAGTAATTTTGTCATTGAAGCTAAGTTCCATTCTGAGGAAGGACATTTAACATTTGCAAAATTAGCAAAATCGACTAGAAAACTGTGACACAGCCCCTTTAACCCACATGGAAGTGTCTAAAAATCAAACAATTCTGATGTTCCTAAGTCATATATATGCCCATATTGCCTTATTCTACAATGATTTTTGACACAAAATGAGACAATACCATAACTCATTAACAAAAGAACTAAAACAAACATTACACTGACTACTATCAACACTGTATAATCGTGTTTGTGTTCCTTTAGTAGATGCTGCACTGCTTTTAAAGAACCATTGTTTGGGGCTGGTTCAATGCCCAGTATAAAATATGACACATAAGAGAGTATATATTCACATTTTCAAATGGTTCTGAAACAAAGCTTTCTTTGAATGCAGGTCCTTGGGCAAGAAAAAAGGGGTGCATATCAGGGAATTGGTTACTGTAGCCATGGTTACCACGACTGTCAATTTTCGACTTGTTTTTTGTAATGGTCCATCCTTCTTCTTTGACAATGAAAATCGGCATGACACGTTGGTTATGCCTGTAATGAAACTCTTCAGGTATTTCTTCTTTAAGGTATGTATATAGATGTGGAACAGTCTTGAGCTTTTGGTAAGTGTCATTCAACTTTCCTTTCTTGGGTAGAATATGAAAAAACACATTAGAAGCATGGTCTGCCCTGTTTGGATCAGTGATGAGTGTATACCAGTCTGATGGAATGTAATGATCCAGCTGGATAAGACGGGAGTTGTTGACATCTGCCATGCCATGGTCGCTTGTGATAATCAGGTTCACCTAAAATGGGTCATAAAAATACAATGGAAATATATGTAGATCCAAGAAATGTTACATAATAATCATCTTATGGGACATGTAAAGAGCTACTACAATCTTACTATATATATAACATATCACAAGCATTTACTAAAGACATAATATCATCAGAATTGAATAAATCCAGTACCACAAAGAGCAAAACAGTATGTTTTTTACATTCTTTACCTATTAATTATTTTTGATGAACTCTACTGGCCTTCATTAGAGTGAATGGCCATTACAAGCACCACACACCATTGACAACAACACACAAATTTGAAAATTTGCATGCACTACAAAGAAAGCTAGATGCATTCACGCTTTTACCCGCTGTGAGACCTAGTAGCCCTATTCTAGCTAAAAAGAAGTCACTTTTATTCTAGCCCTGAGGCTGAATGCAGTTCAACATAATAATCGGCCCAACATAATAATCTGGAGTGCTGACTTTCTCCCAAAGTCAATAACTACTACTTATTAACCTTGTCCATTCGGTCAATACAGGGAAATCTCAGACTAAGGTCAAATATTTTCCTGTAATGACCAAAGGGACGAAAATAAGTTATTTATTATAAGGCCTTTTCATTATGGACCTGAGCCTGCAATCAAAACCGACAGCTGGATAACTTTAAAAAATACATGTCACTGCAATGAGTTGTACACTTGACCTAGCAATACAGTCATGTGACACTGGTCAGTGGATACCTTATTTGACAGCTGTCAATTGACTATTACATGGATGTCCATAAGGATTTCAGCCTGAGTATCAGGCGTTTCTGGGGGAAGGCCTAATACTCAAGCTATAAGGAAGGATTTTCACTATCAAGTTTAGCACAGATTTAATATGCCTTGCACAGCCAGCTAGTAATGTACAGACATTACGAGAAAATAATGAGAGAGCATGCATACTATTCTAGCCATTATATATTATAACTCATCTAGATTTAAACAGTCTTTAAAAGGAAAGTTGGGAAGCAAGGGTGGCACAGTGCTGAGAGCACCCATCTAGTTTGCTCCTTTTTGGAGGACAGCGCCCAGAAAATGGCCCAACTAGCTCTAAAAGGTGTTTTTCAGCAAAAGTTCCAGGAGTGCAGTGATTTTGTTACAAACAGTTGTGGGCCCTGGGGCTCATCTTGTGCAAAATCATGAGTCCCAGCCAGAACCAAAGAGTCCCTGAGTTGAACAAACAAAGAATTCTTAGTTGGGACTTTATGTAACCATGCAGACAGTTAATCTGAATCCAAAACTCTGTATTGCAGTTTACTGAATTAAAAATACACTCCTTCTTTTATAAACCACAACAAAGACAAAACAACATTCATTGCTAAAAAGCAGCCACAAGAACAGCCACAGAAATCACGCGAACAGGATATTCTACAAAACCATCCTTAGATCAATCGATCTACCTTCGTGTCCTGCGAGACGCATGCCACAAATTATTTTGCATCTTTGGGGATTTTTTTTTGCATCAAAGATGGAGGTGCAGAGGTAACAGAATCACTGGGAGTGTGAATGGAATATTCTGAACAAAAAATCCACCATATCAACATCAATCTTTTCCAAAATAGCTAAACAATTTCCATTGTGGCGTTGTGTTGACATCTGATGGAGCATCATCATTGGCTTTAGTACTGAATAACCCTTGGTATTGGGTATGATCTAATTATGAACAAAATATCATGTATCACTGATGTAATTTAAACCCAGCTAGTGAGGTCTGTGAAACAGTGCTGGGATCCTTGTTCTGGAACCACAATGGATGCAATGAATTACCAACCACATTGGCCGATCCAACAATGGCTTCTTTACAGACCAATCATAGCACGTCATGTGATGGACTCTGATCCCGATACACAGCTGGGGACCCAGAACAA